CGGCTTCGGCCCAGTGGGCTGGGTGGTCAGCGTGTGTGTGTGTGTGTGTTCTCTGCCCCTCAGAAACGGCCCCCGGTCTCCTGCAGGCTCTGGCACCCCAAAATTAGCTGTACACCCCCACCCCGCGCACCTGAGCATCAAAGGGCATCTCGAAAAAAACCCCGCCCCAACAGGAAATACTAACCTGGTGATAATGTAAGGACCAAAACAGATCACGAATGACCCTATAAAAATACTGATTTTCTTGGTAGCCCTCTGCCTCCTCCGCTTCTGCTCATTAAGACAGCGCTGCTTTACACTGCAAAGGGAAAAGAGCAGTCGGTGGGTAAAGGCAAGAAGGAGGAGGCGAGACTTAAGCCCAGGAGACAGAGAGCAAGAACTCACTTTCAGCCCGAGATCCCCGTCCAGGGGAAGGAGAAGGCAGGGCAGTCCCTGTGTCGGCCCAGGAGGAGGGTAAACCCCTGGGGGAGAGTAGGGCAGCCCCGGCTCGGGAGGAGAGCAGTCCTCCGGGGAAGGGCAGTCCCGGCCCCGCCGAGCCTGGGCACAGTCGCCCTCGCCAAAGCAGAGGCTCCCTGTTAAAGGGAGCTCGGGCAAGTGGGAGAGGCCGACAAGTGGGACTAGCATTTAAATAAAGTAGGCTACAAAATGCACAAGCCACCGTCGTCTGGCACTATAAGCAGTGTCTGAAACCAGAGGCAGAAGCGTTCGCTCTGTGGCTGGGACAGGCAGGAGCGCAGGAAAGGGTGCTGGGAGGCAGAACATCCTCCCCGCCCGGGAACCTACCGCAAGTGCCCCGAGGCGGTGAATGCGAACACGCACGCGTTACCTGGGGTGGATATCCACCAGCAAAACCAGAGTCTGCATTGTAATAATGTCTATCCGCTTGCAGTGGAACCGGGCAACTTTCAACACCTTTAAATAGGTGAAACACAAGATCACCAGAGACAGCATGAAACTGGTGGAGTGATAGACGATGGTGAACACAGTAAACCTTCTCCGCTCTGTCTCTTCCTTCAGGTGCAAGGTGCAAGAGGCATAAACGCTGCTATAATCTACCCAAGAGTAAAACAAGGATACCAAGGGGAACGTGAGGGAGTGGAGCCATGAGTAGCCCATCAGTATCACAGCGTCTTTATACCGCATCTTGCTGGTGTAGCTTAAGGGGAACACCACGGCAATCCATTTGTCGATGCTGAGTGCTGCCATGCTCAGCATGGTGTTGGAAGTCAGGAAAGTTTCCAGGAAACCCACCGCTTTGCAGACGCAGCCCCCGAGGGGTTGCTGGTTCCTCAGAATCCCCAGCAGGGTAAAAGGCATGTTCAGGACGGTGAGGAGCAGGTTGCAAAAGGATAAGTTCACCAGGAAAACCCCGGCGACCTGCTTGCGGATCTCCGTACTGTAGACGAAGCATAGCAGCACCAGGAGATTGGAGAGCAGGGAGACGACCAGCACCAGCACCAGGAGCAACGCCAGCAGCACGCCTGCCAAGTCCA